CTTTTGCCTTTCCAGTTTAGATACACTTAATTTCTTTTCCTTGCCTAATTGTTGTGGCTAAAACTGCTATACCATGTTGAGTAGAAGTCATGAAGTGAGTATTATCTTGCTCCTGATCTTAGGGGAAAGGTTTTAATCATTTACTACAGAGGACTCTGGTAATTGTGGATTTTTAAATTCCCTTTATCATGTTGAAAAAGTTTCTTTTTGTTCCTAATTTACTGAGTATTTTATCACTTAAAGGTGTTGGATTTTGTCAATTTTTCTGCATTGATTAAGATGATCATGTGGATTTCCCCCTTCATCCTACTGACATGCTGTTACAGTCCAATTCTTCAATGTTTCCACATCTTTGCACTTCAGGATTAAAACTCACTTGGTGTGTTTGCTAGTATTTTTGTTTAGGATTTTTACACCTATGTATTCAGAAGGGATATCGGTGTGTAGTTTCCTGTGTTTTTATCTTGTCTTGCTTTGGTATCATAGCAATTCTGTTTCATCGGATGAATTAGGAAGTGTTCTTTTCTTCTTCTTCCTCCTCCTCTTTCCCCTCCTCCTCTTCTTTTTGGAATAGATTGAAGATAGATTTAAATCTTCTTTAAATGCTTGGGGAGTTGGGTGCAGAGACTTGGGTGGCTGAGGAAAGAGGGTGCAGAGACTTGAGAGGCCAGCCTCAGCAATTAAGTAAGACCCTATCTCAAAATAAAAAATAAAAAGGATTGGGAACATAGCTCAGTGGTGAAGTGCTCCTAGGTTCAATCTCCAGTATTGCCCTATACAAAATAAGACAAAAAAAAAAAAAACAGTTTGGGGAGTTCACCAGTAAAGCCATCCTGTCCTGGGCTTTCGTTATTGTTGTTGAGAGATTTAGAATTACTGATCCAATCTTCATAATGATAGGTCTTTTCAGATTTTATATTTTATTGTGATTAATTTTGGTGGATGTGTGTTCTAGAAATTTGTCCATTTCACGTAGCTCATTCAATTTGTTGGCACACAAGCCTTCATAGCATGTTCTTGTAATCCTTTTTATATCTGTAAAACTGGTATTAATGTTTCTACTTTCATTTATAAGTTGAGTCTTTCCTTTTTTGTTCTCAATCTAGTTAAAGGCTTGTCAATTTAGTCAATCTTTTCAAAATACCAACTTTTGATTTTGTTGATTTTTCTTTATTATTTTTCTATTATCTATTTTTATTTATCTCCACTCTAATCATTATTATTTCTATCTTTATGCTAGCTTTGGGTTAGCTTTCTCTTTTTTCCAGATTCTTAAGGTGTAAAGTTGGGTTATTGATTTGAAATTTCTTCTTCTTCTTCTTCTTCTTTAGAGAGAGAGAGAGAGAGAGAGAGAGAGAGAGAATTTTTTAATATTTATTTTTTAGTTTTTGGTGGACACAGCATTTTTATTGTATTTTTTATATGGTGCTGAGGATCGAACCCAACAACCTGCGCATGCTAGGCGAGCGCGTTACCGCTTGAGCCACATCCCCAGCCCCTCTTCTTTTTTAGTGAATGCATTATGGCTGTGTATTTCCTTATTCACATTGCTTGTTTTGCTCCCAGAAATTTTGGTATGTTGTGTTTTCATTTTCATGTATCTCAAGGTATTTTAAAACACAGCTTACTGATTCTTTACTACTTTGAGTCTACTGATGAGTTTATCACAATTATTCCTCATTTCTGAGATGATTTTAATATAACATTTTCTTTTGATTTTTTTCCCTTAGACCTTTGTTAGCGTACATTAATCACCTATTCTTACATGTTGTCTACTTTTTCAATTAGTGCCCCTAATGTATAAATCTTAGTTATTTTATACTCCCTATCTGATAATTCATTTATCTTTGTCATATATGAATCCGGTTCTGATGATTGCTTTGTCTCTTCACACATTTTTTTTCTTTTGCCTTGTAGCAGTGTTAAATAAACATCACAGGAGGCCACTCTTTTGTACTAAGCTCCAACAGACCAGACTAAAAACCAAAATGGAGTGATTCATGCTAAAGTTGCCTGACACCAAATGGAAACTAAGCTGTTACCCAACCTTCAGAGAAATCAGGAAAGAAAGAAAACACTTGAATTTTCCAAACAGGTTAGTTTCACTGGACCTAATAATGAAGCTCTCTCTCTCTAATCCTTTCATAAACACAGAGAAAGGTAACCTGAAGTAACCTGATATTAACCAATCTATTGTTTTCCTATTATTCTGTCGATCTGTCTCTGCCTTATGAGGAAAGTCATTTTGAAATGCCCAATCCTTTTTCTGTTCTTCATTTCTGCATTCTCAGCCTTTCTCCACCTAACCTAGGATAAAACCAAATTCTTCTGTTCAGATCATTGGAATACTCACACTATTTTATGGAATGAAGTGTTGCCTGATTCTAGAGTCAAAACTAAAGCCAATTAAGATCATGAAACTGCTGTAATTTTGTCCTTTGAAACGTTGCTTTGTAAATTGCTGTCCAAAGCCAAGCATTTATATAGGATAACAGGTACAGAGTCCAATAGGTTATTATGGTCGTTGTATTATTATTATTATTATGCGATGGTAGAGATAGAACCTTGGACCTCACACTTGGCTCTACCACTAAGCCAGACCCCCAGCCCTATCAAAAGCTCCCAATGTAAGGATGTATGTTAATCTGGCAGGCAACTAGACTGTCAGCACGTCATAGCCACAGATACCAGAGGCTTCCAATTACTCAAGTGAGCTTATTTTTCCCTCTTTCTTTTCTTTTTCTTTCCTTTGTTTTGTGCTCAGAGTATGTTCTTGTAGACCTTTTAGCTATAACCTACGGTTCTCATCATGGGAGCCTTGTTGGTGTGGTGGCAGCGTAAGAGCATGGTGGGGGACTGTCCCCCTCTGATCTTTTTTTTTTTTTTTAAACAACAGAAATTTATTTTTTTCACATTTCTGTATTCTGGAAGGAGTTAGCAGAATTGGTTTCTCAATTCTTTCTCACCATGTTTCCCTGTATTTTCACAGAGCCTTTTCTGTGTGTCTGTCCTAATGTTCCCTTCTTATAAGAAAAAAACCAGTCATATTGCATTAGGGTCCACCCTAATTTTCCTCATTTTAATTTAATTACCTCTTCAAATAATCTGTCTGCAAACATGGTCACATTCTGAGGTACTAGAGGTTAAGGTCTCCCCTCTGATCTTCAACTCAGTCATCATTCTTTTAGTTGCTGTGCTTGGGGGGGAGGGGTGGGATTAAACTTTGAGTCTGGTTCCTTTTCGGTGTTTCCAGTCCATTTTTGTGGAGCCTTGACCCTTTTTGACTATTGCTTGAGCTGTTGATTTTCCTTAGGTGGGACAGGAAGGCTAGAGAGGTCTGGAGGGATGGGCTCTTTCCTTCAGCCTTGAGGTTTCAGCATAGCCCTAGGGAGCCCCTCTTCTTCAATGGAGGCTTTTGTTAGGGACAAGGGGTCCCAGTTTTCCCAATGCCCTCCCTTCTACCATCCCCATCAGGGCCATGAAGGGATCTTTCTGTGATCCTCATTCTAAAAAATGTGGACTGGTTCTTGGAAGAAAATCCCCTCGAACTTTTGGTCCCCTTTATCACCCAAGCCCCAGCTTCCCACTCAGTCTGCAAAAACATGTCAAAATTTCTATTCAGGTGTTCCTGCCAGTTCTAGGTATCACTAGACTTCCCTCCAGGCTATAGATCTTGGCCCCAGTACTTCTCTGGATATGTGCTTGGATCTGGGGGTGGTGGGGTGGGGGGTGGCCCTGTGATCTCAGTTCTCTGATAGGTCAAGGGAAGTCAATGATATTCAGTTTGTCCAACTTTTTCTTATTAAAGGATAGGATGATGATATCTAAGGTCTTTACCTGTAATAATAACAGCAATAACAATAGAAATCACTCCTCCCTCGACCATGGAGTTTGAATGTGAATGTGGAGTTCAGGCATTAACGTCAGGTCGGGCAGTTGGCGGTGGAGCGGAGACGTGGGAACAGAAAGCTCTGTTCATTATAAACATACCTACTTGCACTGTTACTATGAGTTCTGTTTTCACAATTTTGCAGAGGACTTTAGAGAATAGAGAATTAAGAGTAAATGAAGCTTCGTTTATAATAACAAATATGGGAAACAACTCTAATGTTCAACAACTGGAGAGAGTTTCAAGTAACTGTCACCTATGAGACTGCCCTGCAGTTGTTCAGAGGAATAGGGGGAGGTTTCCAAGGCCGAGGAGGAAGTCCTGAGCAGAAAAAAAAGAAAGAAAAGATCAAAGGTCACATGCATTTATGTCATGGGCCAGAAAAGTTCTGAGGACACACACCAGAATTTGAGAAGGAAGGAAGAAGAGGGTGCCCTTTGCCTGAACTGGTTGCAATAAACGTGAATTAATTTTGTAACAACAGAGGGCAAAGGAAGGAAAGATGGAAAATTGATTTTCACTCACAGTTTTCCCTTCTGTGCCTTTTGACTTTTCATCCCATGTATTTATTCCCAATATAGAAAATAAATAGAAAACCAGGGAGGGTAAGAAGCACACTCCCTGGCAGCTTGCAGGATCTCGCCTCACCACTTCTTTTCTAGTCTTCCCACTCTCTAGCTTCATCCTAATGTGGCCTGCCACACTCCCACTGCCATTCCAGCCTCACCCAGCCTGTCCCAGCTTCCCAGTGCACCCCGGCCGTCCCTTGCCACCCCTAATGTGCAACCCTAGACAAGTCACTCAGGCTCTGTGGGAGAGCTGGGCGTTATTTCTCCAGTTTTTATTTCACAGAGAGAAAACCTGTGATAACTTCTACAGCTGTATGTGAACAAAGATGGTTAGAAATGATCAGAAGGCCGGTGCGGTCTCACACACCTGTGATCCCAGCAACTCCAGAGCCCGAGGCAGGAAGATCACAATTTCAAGACCAGCCTCGGCCATCCTTGGCACTTACTGAGACTCTATCTCAAAATAAATAAAAGTAAAAAGTGGAAAGAGAGAGAGAGAGAGAGAGAGAGAATAGCTCAGTAATAGAATGCCCTTGGTTTAGTTTCAGGAGAGAGAGAGACAGAGAGATAGATATAGAGATAGAGAGGGGGAGGAGGAGGAGGAGGAGGAGGAGGAGGAGGAGAAAAAAAGAAAGAATGAAAGAAATGACCAGAGAGTTCTGAAAATGCCCACCCAGGCCTCTTCCATTCCCAGCACAAGATCAGACACCTTAGCTGACACCAAAGTCCCTCTTTCTTCTCATTGGGTCACCCTAAGGCCTGTGGAGTCTGGCTAGGCTGGCCCTTCTTGGACTTCTCTTACCGGGGAGGGCAGCCTGAGTGGAGTGTGGGGAGAGAAATTACCTGAAGTGAGGTCATACTAACCTCTTCCATCCTTCCAGCAAGTTGCTCGCGGGCCATTTTGGGGACCCCTGCCTGAGATGGCTGAATAAGAATCTCTGAAGAGCTGGGGTTGTTTAAACCCCTTCCCAGGTGCAGAGCTACTGGGCCTTTTGGTTCCTCCCAGGTAGGCATGACCCTGGTTCTGTGTTTCCTTAGCTCTGCTGCTGGGTCACTGCAGACCAAACCTTGCCATGGCTTTGGGTCCTTGGGTGCCCATTGGTTCCCCATCCCTGCTAATTCTAGGCCCCCTTTCTGGGCTGGATGGCCTTGGTTCCTGTCCTTTCAAATACTCTTAGGTTCTTCCCAGTCACCACAAGTGACTATGACTCAAAGTCCTGATGAGGAATCACTATCCCCTGCCATGAGAAAGGCATTTGGCTCTCAAGAAAAGTCATGTTTAAACTTACTCTGTTTCTCTCCCTACACGGATCATGGTCAACAAGAAATGAGAAAAGCATATTCACATATTCAACATTTTGACGCTTCATTCTTTCAACACATATTTACTGAGCACTCACTCTGTCAGATACAATACAAAGCCAGATACAATACAAAGGCTATGATTGAGGGAGGGTGGACTCTCCCTCGGGTCTCAGCCTGCTTCCAGAAAGATGGGGGAAGGCTCTGAGGTGGGCTTTTGCTGTGAGAATTCAGCAAGAGATTCCAGAGCCTGCCAAAGAGCAGGGCTTTTGGAACCAGGAGTGGCATGGTAACCTGACCAACCCCACACGCTATCTGTTATGTGTCCATGGGCAAGTCACAGGGACTCTGCATCTGTGTCGAGATCTGAAAAGGATAAGAATTGCATTTTTAGGATGACGCAGGGTTCGGGCAGACTGATCCCCACATAAACCTGCTCGCAGCCAGGCTCATTAACGTTGTGATCATGTGTGTGGGGCCTGGAAGGACGATTCAGATGTGGCTGTGCAGGAGAGGTGGCCTTAAACCTCCCCCTTGTCCCAGATCTGGATGGGCCCAATCAAGAGCAGTTCTGTACCTTTTTAAACCTGCAGTATCCAGCCTACATCCTGCACACAGCATGTCTCAGAGAGCTGCTGAAGGAAGGCCACAGAATTTCTAGACTGAAATCAAATGTCAGACATTCAGGAGAGGCACCATCTCTGTTCTACCTTATGGGACTGCAGTCTTTGTATGAAATTCCTCCTCTGTCTTCTTCCCACAGTTGGGACTGGTTCATCTCTCTTCCCTACCCATGGAAGCTCTTCATGAAAGGTGATTTCTCTTACAGTTTGTCTACAATCTGATCCACCCACTTTCCCCTGGAAACAAATTTCACAGCTGCCTGTGGTGCCCCATCCTTTGCCTCTGACTGCAGTGTTTTGGCTGAGATGGAAGTTAATCCTGTAGAAAGCAAGTGGGTCGTCTGTCCTTGCACCTGCTTCCCTGACACTGGGCCAGAACGGACAACTGCCCTTCCTGGGGACACCAGCTGTCTTCTCCCTTCATGGTTCTGAATGTTTTTGTGCTGTGGCCTTTGGAGTGGGGGCACAACCCATTCCAAGGCAAGTTTTCCTGAAAGAGGGAATGGGGATGCTGAGAGTGTGGAGGGGGCAGAGAGAAAGGCCTTTGCCACTCAAATGTAGAATTGCAGATTTGGGAAGAAAAAAAATGGGCTTCTTCTCAAAGAGCATTTGGCTTTTTTGGCTCTCCATGACTTGGAGAGTGCAAGTTGAAGGAAATCATTACTCACACAGGTTAATTTGTCACAGAAAATCCAGTAACACCCATCAGCAAGGGTTGGCAAGTTTTGGCTAGCCCTGGCAGTGTTGCATAATAATGCAGGACCTTGGCTGATTCAGGGCTCTTGCTGGGATGGGACTGGTTTGGCTTCATAGTCCCTAGCACAAGCCTTTTAATGTTCACTCACCCCCATCTGTTTCCTGCTCCAGGCCTTGAAGCTCACCCTTTTCTCATACCCATGCAGAAACATAGGCTCTCTTAGCCTCCTCTCATTTTACAGTGTGGACCATTTTTTTTTTTCCCATTGGTCCCAAGTCTGAACTCCTCTCTGACATACTGCATGAGGAGCAGCTAGGTGTTCACAGTTTTGAGTTGTCCTTGACTTTGGATTCAGGCACGAATGCCTCCACATGAAAATCCACCCCTCCCCCCATTTGACTAAGTCCTGCCCCTTCCCCCCAACACAGTCCTCCAATTTCAGACAAAAGATGGAAATTTGGTTCCTTGGTTCTCCTGAATATGACTGTAAAGATGCAGCTCCTGAGGAGGGTGAGCTTGTTTTACAGATGGGGCTCCATCATGGTTTGCCTGGAAGCCCCAACTTCCAACTAGCCTCAAGGGAGGCCTTCTTGGGTCAGGAGACGGTGGCGGCATGTGAGGACACTTGCAGAGGAGCCCACCTACCGCTGACTGTTCAAAGTGAGGCCCAGGATTTCTGGGGGATATCCCCGGGGATTCCGCCCAGCAGTAGGGCCTGAGGGAGATTCAGAGTCCAGCTGACCCCTGTGTCCTCCTGCCTGTGCCACAGCCCTGGGACTGAGCTGCAGTGACTGGCCCTCCACCGAGGCACAGGTCTGGGCACCCAGTCTGGTGGGTTCCAATTTGAGCTGGCTCAGGTTCAGGATGAGGCCTTGACACCTCTGGTCCTGTGGGCTGTTCTGGATGGGAAGGCCACAGACAGCTACCCCATTGGGAGAACTGCTGGTCTGTTTCTGCTGCAGAAGGTCAGGGCCCCAGGCTGGAGACTGCCTGAAGGGTCCACTGCCTATGTCCTGCCTTGGAGGCTGGCTGTCTGGGTGGATCTGCAAGGCTGCCACACGGGCCACATAGCCAGCCAAGGTGGGCCCTACATCCAGAGCACTTCCCCCGGGACCTGGCCTCCATGGCCCTTGAGAATTCCTCAGGTTCTCAGGTGGCCTGGGTTCCTTCTGTGAGCCAGGCCAGGCAGTGGAGTTGGGAGCCTTGCCTTTACTGGAAATGTCTCTTGTAGAGGCTGAAGACCCCACAGAGGAGATCAAGCCATTAGGGTAGCCTTGTGTCTCTTCCTCTAGAGAGGAGTTCTTGGAGGGGGTGCCAGTCCCCCTTACAGTCTCCCCTGGGACACTACTCTCTTTGACAAGCAGGCCTTTAGTGCCTGGGTGAGCCCACAGCTGCTGTCTGCTAGGTGCTGAGCACACTGTGGCCCTGCCTGCATCTGAGGCCTGTTCCCCGCTGCCCTCTAGCTTCTCTGCCGGTCCTCTAGGGGCCCTCTGTGGACCAGATGAGGTTGCAGGCTCCCCAGGGGCAGGGGCTGGGGCAGGTGGAGCTCGGCGAAGCCAGTTGACAATGCCCATGGTGATAGCGAGCTCTGTGTCACAGAGCTTTAGCAGGCACTCCTTGCCCTTCCAAGAGCTTTGCAGGAAGCCCTGGCTAAGCAAGTCAGGGCCTGGTGCTGGGGCCAGGTTCTCCTCAGCCCCCACATGGAAGCTACACATGGACAGTGGTGTCCCCAAGGCTGGTCCTGACAGACTCTCAGACACACACAAGTCATCGTCCAGGCTTGGGCCGACAGGGGCCTCACTGGGGTCATAGAAGAGCTCATAAAGGGCATCCCCACTGTAACTGTCCCTAGGGAAGGCAGCTGCAGGTGTTCCTGGGCTTGGGGCCTCTTTCTTATCCTCCTCAAGGCCAGGGGAGAAGGAGTCATAATAACCTTCATCACTCGTAGACACAGATTCTGGCTGCTCACTTTTGGGGGTGCCTGTGTCTACGGAGCTGGCTTTGGAGCCACTTGGGGGGCCCCTGCAGGGAAACAGGGGCAACTCTGCCAACCCAGTTACATCCAGCCTGGGTTGGTCTGTGTTTGTCCCCTGAGGACCCACCAGCCACGGGCCTAGCAGGGCACGCTGCTGCTGCCTCACAGAGCGATTCACACTGTCCCAGAACCTGGTGAAATCCAACACCTCATTCTGGGCAGGTGATGCCAGCTGTTCCACACTGTCTTGGGAAGGGCCTCTGGGATCCTTGCTTTCCAAGGCTTGGGACACCCGACCTGGGCTCTCGGGGCCTTCACTCAGCTCCAGGGGTGGCAATGAGCTCTCATCTGCAAAGATCTCCCCGCAGCCTGTGAGTGAGTCAAAGCTCTTCAGGGAGGCTACATCCTCGCACAGGGCACTGCAGAGGTCGAAGGGTGAGTCAGGCAGGAACTCACTGTCAGACAGGTCCTGGCACAGGTCGTCCAGCCCCAGCCCCTCGCCCTGGGAAAAGAAGGTTTTCCCTCTCTGCCTTGCAGCATCCGATGGGTCCCCCGGGGAGGACAGGCTCTTCCCTTTGGCTGCCAGTGAGGCCAAGTTCTCTGTCTTGTTTCTGCGGATGTGGAATAGGTTCCGGAAGCACTTCTTGGGCCGTTTCAGAGAAATCCTCTTCCTTGGGATACTCTTGGCCACAGCTGGCACAAAGGGCATCTGGGGCACAAAGTGGCGGTAGTCAATCATGCGCTGGCTGCCAGAGGGCCCTGGGAAGCTTGTGCTACCCACCAGCTGTCCTGGGGTGGTTGCTGCCTTGCTGGCCCCTGGAACACTCTCATGAGTCTTGCTCTTCCGTACCAATTTTAAGGTGGCTTGACCTCCTTCAGGGTCAGTCTGTGCCCCTTTGTTGAGGCACCGATCATACCCTTGGATGCTGGAGCTGGCTTCAGAACCCTTCTCACAATGTGGTCTCTGCTGCCCTCCCAACGAGACTGACCAGGGACCTGCATCCTCCCTGGCTACAGCAGTGGCTGCAGGGTCTGGGGGTTTCTCATGGGAAATCTGCAAGCTGGATTTGATGAAGGTCTTTCCCCTCTTCAGCTCCATGCTTCCAGTGACCCCGGCAACTGTGGAGGAAAGCAGGTGGTACTCAGTATCAGAGACTGGAAGGTATCAAAGACCTCTTCCCACCCCTGTCACACGACTTGCTCAACAGCAGAGGCCTGGGTCCCAGTGGGTCCTCCATGGTGGTGGGGGAGAGGGGAATGGAACAGCCTCATCCTCATGCACCACTTTTGTTTTTATAGACAACTGATGCCCTGAGCAGTTAAGTCACATGCCTAAAGGCACACTGTAGGAGTAAAAATGACAGCTGCTGACCTGTGACCTGGTGCATGCTGTATTCGTGAGCCCTCAACTCCCTTAAACACCTTTTCAGCTCATCTGGTCAATTTAACCTCCCATTTCTAGGCTTGAATTATCAATAATAGTTCACCCTCACCAGATCCCTGCCTTTCAGAGTGGATGGAGCAGAGGATCCAATCAAGTAAGCTGCCTCCTTCATCTACTAAGAGAGATGCACCGGCCTGCCTCCCAGGGCTGAGACAGCTGCCCCTCCAGGACCAGAAACCTTTCAGTGGAGGCAAGACTCAATCTACACAGAGGTCATGGGGCAAGACACAGCCTGCAGAGCTCTAAGACAGAGGGGAGAGAGAACCTCACAGTAGGAGGCAGTGTGGAACCTGGTGAAGGTCAACTGGGAAACACAGAGTATGATAGGCAGTATCACCTTTTATGCACACTTACTGACAGATATTGGTGTCTGTAGTGTCATCCAGAGAAGGTTTCTCATGTCCAGGCTGAGTTCCATGGGAAAGGCACTGGGGTCTGCCCTGGGGGTGGAAGTGGGGTAAGGTAGCAAGAGTGCTCAAGACTTGCTTGTCCTGGCACAGCTGGGGTATCTGGCCTTATCCTGAGGTCAATGAAGTGCCACAATGATCTTCTAATGAGTGGGTGGATCTGGACGGAGGATACAATAAATGGGAGAGATGACTGTCAAGAAAAAGTTCAAATGAGCTGAGGATGGGGACTATAGTAGATATCATTGTGAGGGTGAAGTTATTAGGTCTTCCAAAGAAAGAAACACCAGGATTCAGCAACCACATGGAGAAAGAGAATCTGGCAGGAAGTCATGAATACTGAGGGCCCGAATTCATGCCAAGAGAATGGGATGGAACAAGGTGGGGAAAGTCAAGGAAGGAGGTAGGGCAGGAACAGAGTGAGGGTGGGAAAGAGACCTGTGCCAGGAGCTGGCTTGTGGGAGAGGAGCAAAGATCTAGTTTTCACATGCTGCTCTTGGGGTAAGTTTGAAGACTCCCCAAGCTCCAGCAAGTGGGGTGCAAAACCAAAGAGCACAATCTGAGAACCTCCTGAGTTCTTGTCTCCCACACCATCATGGCTTCTGCTTTCACCTGAAACACTGAAACACACTCTCCCTACCCACTGCCCCCTTACCCACTTTCCTTGGTGGTGAGTGACCTGAGGGTTGTCCACTGTCAGTCTGGCCAAAGAGATGCTGGAAGAGAAAGCTTGTGACTGGCTTCTTTGACTTTCCATGAGGACAGCTCCAGGGGTGGCTCTGCATTCACTTGCCCCAGCTCCCAGTTTGTGAGGAGAACTGCAGCAGGCAGAATGCACATGGCCAATGGAGCCTATATACCTGTAGACCCACTCCCAAAGAAGTTGTAGAGTGCCTATTGGACAGCACTCCTTGACCTTTGAAGCCCTAAAATGCTTCTGCATGAGTGATGGGTGACCAGAGGGGTTGTCTTCTAACCCACTGGGCAAAGCTGTATGCTGCCAAGGCTCACAGAGACAAGATGATAGGCCTCCACCTGCTTCCACTTGTGGGTAGTGCTTCCTCCCCTCTGAGGGGCACCTAGGACTTTTGGCTGGAGGATGAGAGAAAGAGTAGGCATCATGCCCAGGAGCACTGCAAAACTCAGGCTTGTCATCAGCTGCATCTTGGCCTTTGGTGGCGGCAACCTGGATACTAGGACCATGCCTCAAGCTGTCATTTTGGCTTTTCTGCCTGCTGCCAGGTGGTGCATGCCCAACGCTTTCTTACCCTGCAGCTGCAAACCCTTCACACATTCTTTTGCAGCCTAAATAAGGCCTCCCCCAGCTCTGACACGCTTTGCTGCACACCACACAGTGCTTACTCTGGTGTCAGATGACCCACACTTGAGTCTTGGTCACATTCACTTCATCAGGCACAGAGCTTGGTCCTTCACCTTAGAAAGGACATACTATTAAAAATTAAAACCCCCATTTTATAAAGAATAAATTCAGGTTCAGAAAAATCAATAGATTGGCTAAGTTCACATACGTGGTAAGTGACAGAACTGGGATTGAACCTGATGTCCTATGAACCAACAGTTCAGATTCTCTTTTGTGAGAAATCTAAAGTAGAAAAATAAATGTGTTCTCATGAGGAGTTTTGGAAAACACAACGAAAGTGAAGATTCCAGGTAACAATGGTAGCTCACAGAAATTTAGAAAAATTATGATTTAAGGTAATATAACTTTGATGGCAAGAAATTTTGGAGATACTCATTCCAAGATCTTTGTTTTACTTATCATTTTTCTATGTTTTAGAAAAATCCTTTGTTTACCACACCCTTGGAAATAACTTCATCCAGGCTACAATGAAAATTATTTCACTGTGTGCAGAATTCTGCAACTGCAAGAATTAAAATGGTTTGATGGAGATCTCTATAAATAAACTACCGGTTTCTCAGTTCTCAGAACAATTAACTGATTTTAAATGATGAACTGTTGGAAATTTCACTCTATTCTGCACTTGGAAAATGATCCTTAAAATAGCTGTCATTGACTATCAATAACTGGGCTCGATGTGACTAATATTGACAATGCTACTTTTGAGTTTTCTTAGCAATCTGCACATAAATAGCACGACAAGTACAGAGGTACAGAACAATGAATTGGAAACAGCAGTACAGAAACATCACATGGACTCTATTATGTATTCACTGTGGTCAGTTTCTGCATTAAAATATTTTATCAAGCCTGTCTCTTTGGAAAGTGTAGCCTGCATATTATGTGGGTGAAAACTCCCTGGCTAGAGGCTGTCTGAGCAGTCAGCTCCCATGACAGTTCTCAGGGGCAGACTGGGATCTATGTAGACATCCAGATGCTGGCACTGTCACTGCCTGAGGGCAAAGGCCAAATGTGTCTAGATTCTCAGTTGCAAAAATGCACACTCTGCTTTGTAACCCTGTGGCTAAAGACCTGTTAGTGGAAGCTTACCAGGAAACATGACAGGTCCTCCCCCACCATGTGCCACATCTCTTTCCCCAAAAGGGAAAGCACGTTGTCCCTCCCTTTCCAGTCTGCACTACTCAGCAACCACTTATTACTCATTCTGGTGCTTCGTCTTGTTCCCCAACAAGACTGACTTTCTTTAAGGCCTAGAACTCCAGCTCTAGTAGACTGTAAGCTATTATTTAAGTGAAATATTTTATATATTTATGATACCTTAACCATATTTTACATCTAAGTTTCCTAAATAAAATTCAGGGTCTGAAATTTGTGGGGTAATTTTTAATTCTATAAAAACAGTTTATGTGTATCATTTTCTAAGATAAGTCTTGGTGACACCAAATCCCTAGGATAAGTCTCTCATCTCTAAGACAAACTTGCAAAAAATCTATGATAACAGAAACCACATAGTGTATTTATTTAACCAATTCTGTTTCAGGGATGTGATATTTACACCAACACCAAGAAGATGGCAGAAGACAACCAGGCAAAAGACGTGGAAAAGCATATTCTAGTCAGAGGAAACATACTATAAAAAGGCCCCAACAAACAAAGAAAGGAGTCTATTTAAGGATCTAAAAATGTTCCTAGTGACCAGAACAGCAACTCAGTGGAATAAGGCCAGGAGACTGGCAAGACAGACCACACCTGGTTTATGGTTTGAGGAAAGATCTTGCTCTTTTTTTTAATATTTATTTTTTAGTTCTAGGTGGACATAATATCTTTATTTATTTATTTATTTATTTATTTTTGCTGTTGTTTATGTGGTGCTGAGAATCGAACCCAGTGCCTCACACATGCTAGGTGAGCACGCTACCACTTGAGCCACATCCCCAGCCCCTGAACGGTCTTGCTCTTAATCTATTGAGTCATGAGGAACCACCCATCAAGAGCAAGTGACAGGGCCAATTTTCAGTTTTTACAGATGACTTCAGTTGCAGGTAAAAAACGGAAAGTCGAGCAAGAAAGAAGCCAAGGAGATGTGTTAGGAGCCAGACCAGAGCTCAGCAGAGAAAAGATGATGGCAGAGATTCCCATATCTGTACCAGACATACAGCACACACAAAGATGTGGATTTACTGCAAAATGAGCACCCGAAGTGATTCTGCTGTCCAATTTTCTGCATGATGTCTAACTTCAGTTCAGCTTACTAGGCTATTCTTTTGCCTTTGAGAGGGTAATGCTGTGCATTTCTTTCCTTTCTTTCTTTTTTCTTTTTTAAATATGACAGTGGTTGGGTACTTGGTTTCATGGAACAAAATAAAAATCTCGGAGGAACATACATGCAGCAGAAGCATTTTAAGATAAAAAATGTTTGGCTAGTAGTTTTGGTATTTGCTATGCCTTATCCTGTACCGCCCCCAGTATCCAGGAAAGTCACAGCAGTGAAATACAAAGACAGGTGTATGGTAATAAGAAAGAGCAGACCTAGGAAGGGAGCGCTGCCCAGGGACTCCTTGAAAATTGGGGTATGGGTGGAGGCTATGGGGCAGTAGTTTATTTCTGTAATAGGCTGCCTTGTCATTGGATGGATGGAGTGAAGGCCATTGTGAGAAGGGAAAGCTCTTGTTTTCTGGGGTGGGGGTAGGGTGGGGAATAAAGCAGAAATAGAATCCGCGGTAAAAACATCACCAAGGCACCCCACCCCCACGTTGGGGAGACAAAGGGCCTTTTGATGGGGCGAAGGTCCCAGCCCACCTCTGAGGGAGCCCCTGGGCGTTCCTCATCTGCTCGGATCCAGAGAAGATGGGCCTCTACAACCTTATCCGTTCTTCCCTTGCACATGCACCCGGAGAGAGAGAATTTCTTTCATTCCCGAACCTAAAAGGGTCACCACCCTCAGACCCCAGGCCCTGCACCATCCGCGTTAAGCACCGCAGGATGGAGAGGAGTGCCCACCCTGGTCCCTCCGCACATCGCTGTAGAGAATGTACAAAATTTACCAAATTATCCTCCACCCCCAAATCCACATATGTAGGACAGGGACCGACCGATGCAGACTCTCAGGATCCCGGCGACTTACCGCTGGGGCCCTGGAGTGTCGCAGGGCGCGGCGGTCCCAGCACCCGCGCGGTGTGCTAGCCGAGTCGCGCGCTCAGTACCACGGTCAGCTCCCGGCGCAGCGCGCAGCCGCGGGGCGGCAGGAAGCCGAGCACCAGCGCCCACCAGCCACTGCTGGAGGTGATCTGCCGAGGCGCTGGGGACCGGCACGCAAGGGTTAAACAGCCCCAGGGCGACAGGAGGGGGCGGGGCCCGACTGGGAGCCCGTAGCACGCAGAAGACCCGCTCAGTGGTGGGCGAGGTGACGCTGGTAGGGCCAGGGTGGGGGCTGGTCCCGGAGGGCCACCGCCTCAGTGCGCCGCTGCACCGACCTCGCCCTGTCTCGCTTTGTGTTTCTTCCCCTGTCTCTGAAGGTGTCTCAGTCTCTGTGTCTCTGCCTCTGGGTTGTGGCTTTGCATCCCTCTATCCTCCGCACGGCGCCCCGCCTACTCCCAACTCCTTGGAGACCACAGGTGTGGGCACCTCTCACCCTGCTGCCCCGAGCTCCTGCGGACCCCTAACCCTCTTGGAAGGGCCCCGCCATACCGAGTCCTCCTTAGGATTCGGAGCGGGATCGTGAGAAGTGGTAGGCCAGTTTGGAGAGGCAAGGTGGAGTCTTCTAGAATCTTCTTTACGTGCCTGTAGTGGACCTGGTTATTATTAATGAGAATGAAAGGCGCTTCCCCTATAGGTACTTACTATATCGGGGCTGCTGGTGCTGTGCCCTGTCGCAATCTTGGGGGAGGGGGAAAATGCTGTGGCGACCCCTTCCCTGCAGAGCTGAGGATGAGGGTCCGCAGGCTGAGTCAGTACTAGGGACAGTGTGGCAGTCAGGGATAAAGTAGAGAGTAAGGAACTCCAGGACTGCTCGATGCTAGCTAGCGCCAGGAGCATGGGCGCAGGGATGAGGGGTGGGAAGGCTGGAGGGTGCACTGCTGGTGCTGGGGAGGTGCTCATCCCCACAGGAGAAGTGAGTGTAGGCAAAGAGAGGTGGTTCCAGCATAGGCTTGGGCTGAGGCCAAAAGTAGAGCATTAGAGACTTTCTTACTCTAGGGCTCTGATAGTTGTCTATGACACCTTTCCTTGAGCCTAGAGGGCTCCCTCCATGTCCCTTTGTCCAAACAACACTGGACACAAGGTGCACCCCCCCACCCCGGTTTGAACTGGTTTGATGGTCATAACCTATTAGCCTTCTCTGTAATTAGTCAAGAGAGTCAAGAGCTGGACCCCACCCTGAGCTCCTCCAGGATGACCGCGACCACTTTCTTCAATTTCTTGGAGTAGAAGCTTCTTTCTACCCTGTAACTAATTCAGCGGGTACTCTGTGTACCTCCTCTCTCTCTCTCTCTCTCTC